CAGATCTTGGCTGAAAGCTGAGAATACCAGAAAGATGTTTACCTGTGCTTTATTGACTACGCAAAGGATTTTCAATTGTGTGGATCATGACAAGCTATAGACAACATTGCAAAGTATGAATATTCTGGAACACTTAATTGTGGTCATGAAGAATCTGTACATAGACCAAGAGGCAACTGTTCGAACAGAATATGGGAACACTGAATGGTTTAAAATTAAGGTGGGTGAAAGAAAGGTATTCTTCCACCATACTTATTCAACATGTATGCTGAGCAAATAATCTGAGAAGTTGGGTTATATGAAGAAAAACGTGGCATCAGGATTGGCAAAAGACTCATTAACACAACCTGCGATATACAGATGATACAACCTTGCTTGCTGAAAGTGAAGAGGACTTAAAATACTTACTGATGAAGATAAAAGACCACAGTATTCTATGTATGTTGCATCTCAATGTAAAGAAAACAGAAACTGGCCCAATAAACAACATTCTTATCAATGGAAAAAAGAATGAAGTTGTCAAGGACTTCATTCTTCTTGGATCAACTATCAATACTCAAGGAAGCAGAAGTCAAGAATCAAATGACGTATTACAGTAGGCAACTCTGCTGCACAAGACCTTTTTAAAAGTGTTGAAGAACAAAGCTGTCAAACTGGACAACTAATGTGCACCTGACCCAAGCCATGATATTTTCAATAACCTCATATGCATGCGAAAGCTAGACAGTGAGTAAGGAAGACTGTAGAAAAATTGATGCCTTTGTGTTATGGTGTTGGAGGAGAATACTGAAAGTACCATGGGTTTCCAAAAGAACCAACAGATCTGTGTTGGAAGAAGTACAGCCAGAGTGCTCCTTGGAGGCCAGGATGGCCAAATTTTGTCTCTCATACTTGGGACATATTGTCAGGAGGGACCTCTCACTGGAGAAGGATATCTTGTTTGGTAGGGTGGAGGGTCAGAGAAAAAGAGGTAGACCCCCAAAACCCCAAGTACCAATACTGAGATGGATTGGTAAAGTGGCAGCATCAATGGGCTCAAGCATGGCAACAATTGTGAGGTTGGCCCAGTACTGGGCAGTGTTTCTTCTGTCGTGCATTGGGATGCTATGAGTCTGTACCAACTCGATGGCACCTAATAACAACAACTATAGACAAAGAAGCTATGGTAGCATATTGGTTGTGAGTCGGGCTGCTAATCTCAAGGTCAGCAGTCTGAAACTTTCATCTGTTCCACAGAAGATGAGACTTTCTGCTCCCGTAAAGATTTCCACCCTTGGAAACCCTACACAGGGTTTCTAGGAATCGTATCCAACTCCATGGTACACCACCAAAACCACCACCACTATAGAACAAAAGCAATTTGAGAAATGCTAGTGAACATAGGAGGTTTTCTAAAGGAGGACTTTTCAGAGACTTTAACATGCTCAAATGAAATGCCTAGAACATCAAGAATATAGCATTTTTTTGGAGAACAAACAAGATGGCGGATTGGGTGGACGTATAGCAGAGAGTTCCGCCAACAACAACACAGAATACCC